TGAACATGTGAACCTAGGTGACGATCCAGCCTCTTCTGGTGCCACTGAGATGAATCACTGATTGGTTTGTTTCTTAAATGTGGTAACCCCCACACCTTGATGTCCGCTAAGGTATATTTGTTAGGGGTACCCTTGTCACTCCCTCAAGCGCCCTCCCTGGAGGGTTCCATAGACCTGCCACCCTTTCCCTGGTGGCTTCGCTTGTCACCCTAGGTCCGTATGTCTTGTCTCTCAATCTTGGCCTCCCGATGTTGTTGAGCGATGTGAGGAATTGCTGAGCAGGGCTTCCTGTGGAGGGAGAGAGCAGTGTCCTCCCACCCAGGTTCTGTAAGCTTGTCTAGGAGCGCCCACATTCTTGCTTCTCCACACCTGTCGTCTGTAATGCTTGCTGACTCTCTTTTTGTGGAGTGTGGGACCAGTTCCCTTTTCTGCCTGAGCCAGGTGCTGGTCCTTTATTCACCCATTTTGTAGTGGCACAGTACTTCCTTCTGGGCTTCCTGAACAGGAAAAGTTCTCAGCAGAATTGGGAGAGCAGGGGAAGCAGAACAGAATATTTAATAAAATGCTACCGCTTTACAGGCAAATTTTAAAGCTCAAACAGGATTTCAAGTTTAAATATGTATAATGCTATTTTGAGATATGCTCTTCTAAACCCAACTTTCTTTCTCCTAGCCATTTGAAAATCTTTATAACAAGCTGCAAGTTTAGTACTGTCTCTTTCTTGTTTTTTGATTTTGGGATCACTTACAGGAGCTCAGGACTTACTCCTGGCTCTGTGTTCAGGTATCATTCTTGGCGGTGCTTGCAGGACCATATGGGATGCCAGAAATCAAACCCATGTTGGCCAGCTGCGTGCAAGGCAAGTGCCCTGCCCGCTTGTACTTTCTCTCTAACCCAACCAGTCCTATTGTTTTTACTCTTTATTTTTTGGACCACACCCGACAGTGCTCATGGCTTACTCCTGACTCTGGCTTTGTGCTCAGAGATCATGCCTGGCAGTGCTCAGGGGACCACATGGGGTTCCAGGAATCAAACTTCGGTCAGTTATGTGTAAGGTAAATGCCCTACCCACTATTACTGTACCATCTCTCTGGATCCAAGGCAAGTGCCTTAACCCCTGTACTATCTCTCCAGCCCTCCTATTGTTAGGTGGGGTTTTTTTGGGGGGGTAGGGGCATACTGGCAGTATTCAGGGGTTACTCCTGGTTCGTGCTCAGGGATCACTCCTAGCCAGCTCGGGGGACCATATGGGATTCTATGAATCATGCCCAGGTTGACTGTGTGCAAGGCAAATGACCTACCCGTTGTACTGTTGCTCTGCTCCCCCCTCCCCCATTTTGGGTACTTCTGTTGACTTTTTTGGGTCACTCTTGGAAGTGCTTAGGTCTACTCCAGGCATTTTTCTTAGGGGTTTGCTTCCTACAGTGGTACTCAGGGGATCATGTGGTACTGAGATGAAAGCCAGGCCTCCTGCATACAAAGCATGTGGTCAGCCCTTTGAGCAGTTTCTCCAGCTCTCATTTTGATGTTCCAGAGAAGAGTATGTTGAACATCCCTGTGTATACATCTGAAAACTGCTTTCTGCATATCTGAGTGCCTAGAAATGACATTGGTGGGTCTAAGGGAATTTGAATGTTGATAATTATCAACTTGCTCTCTTATGGATTCATGCCTGTTTGCCCTCCTTCCCTCTGTCTAGGAGAGCACAGATCTTTGAAAAACCCATGTTGAGATTCTTTCCAACCTTTAAAAACTCATTGCAGGGGCTGGAGCAATAGTACAGCGGGTTGAGCACTGGCCTTGCACACAGCCAACCCAGGTTCAATCCCCAGCATCCCATATTGTTCCCTGAGCACCACCAGGAGTAATTCCTGAGTGCAGAGCCAGCAGTAACCCCTGTGCATCACTGAGTGTGACCCACAAAGCAAAAATAAATAAAAACCTCATTCCGGGGCTGGAGCGATAGTACAGCGGGTAGGGCGTTTGCCTTGCACGCAGCCAACATGACCGACCCAGGTTCGATTTCCAGCATCCTATATGGTCCCCCGAGCACCACCAGGAGTAATTCCTGAGTGCATGAGCCAGGAGTAACCCCTGAGCATCACCGGGTGTGACCCAAAAAGCAAAAAAAAAAAAAAAAAGAAAAGAAAAAAGAAACCTCATTTCACAGTTTTAAAAGGTTCAGAGAGGTCCTAGTGTGCGGTATGATTGGCTTTTTGGTGAGAAAGAAATAGTTCCCTAGCACCTATCTTGGTAAATGCCCTGTTGGGAAATTTCTTCGAGTCCAACTTCTTTCTTACCTGTGTTGTGACCCGATGTGGGGGTGGTTTGAAAAGAAATTTCTGCGTGACGTGTTATCAGTAAATGTTTGGTTTCTATGCCTAAGTCATATACCTATAGGCCAGGGTCATGTGACAGTTCAATCTCTCAGGCGAGAAGGGATTGAGAGTGAGCCAGAGAGCCAGCTCCACAGGCTGAGTGTCTGGGGAAGCGGGCCCAGGCTCCCGCCAGCACAGCATCATCTGCCAACGGAACCAAAACAGAAAAGGAAAGGAACTGTGAGTGGGAGAAGTTTAAGCAGCTTTGCCCTAAACCACTGTGCTATCTCCCAGGTGGCCCCTCCCCCCACCCCACCACCGTTTTCATTGTTGTGGGGCCTCTCCCGACTGTGCTGTGCCTTGCAGTGCTTGGGAGCTATTGCTGCCACTGCTGGTGGTGCAGGGTCAGGTTTGTGGGTGGAAGATGGGGTGAGTACTATTCGGGGACATTGCTCTCCCACTTGTGCCCACAACCCCAAGCCTAAGGCAGTCTTTCTTTCTTTTTTTTTTTTCCTTTTTGCTATTTGGTTCACACCTGGCGATGCACAGGGGCTACTCCTGAATTTGCACTCAGGAATTATTCCTGGTGGTGCTCGGGAGACCATATGAGATGCTGGGAATCGAACCCGGTCGGCCACGTGCAAGGCAAACGCCCTACCCGCTGTACTATCGCTCCAGCCTGCTAAGGCAGTCTTTAACTTGCTTTGCTATTTTACTAAATCTACCTCTCTTCATGGGCTGGAGCTATAGCACAGGGGCTGGAGCGATAGCACAGCGGTAGGGCGTTTGCCTTGCACGCAGCCAACATGGCCGACCCGAGTTCAATTCCTCCGCCCCTCTCGGAGAGCCCGGCAAGCTACCGAGAGTATCTCGCCCGCACGGCAGAGCCTGGCAAGCTCCCCGTGATGTATTCGATATGCCAGACACAGTAACAACAAAGTCTCCAATGGAGACGTTACTGGGCCCTCTCGAGCGAATCGATGAACGGGAGGACAGCGGCAGCAACAGCGACCTCTCTTCATAGAACATAAACTTCATGAAGGCAAAGGCCTAGCACAATGACAGTTGTTCAATAATTTCTTGTTGGAACTGGAGCCATAGTGCAGCAGCTAGGTAGGGCACTTGCCTTGCTCACAGCTAACCAGGGTTTGACTCTGGTATCCCATATGGTCCCCTAAGCATTACCAGGAGTAATTTTGGAGTGCAGAGAAAGGAGTAACCCCTGAGCATCACCAGGTGTGTTCTTCCAAATAAAATCTTGAACTTTTAAGTTTTTTATCCTATAGCACAGAGCTTACACTCTGCTACTGAGCCCTACCCCTGGGCCTTCTCTTGTTTATATGTTCCCCTGCAGATGACAAGTGTTTTTTGTTGTTGTTTTCACTTCTACAGCTATTCCCATTTTTTTAATCACTTTTTTTACCTTTTGTTGTTGACATATTTCCCCCCTCTGGGGAAGGAAAAAAAGATTAAATGCAAAAGAAAAGAGGAAAATGTTGTGGTCTTTATTGTATTGCTGATTTTAAAGTTAATAAATGTTCTCTGTGAATTTCCAAATACAGAAATAAATGGAGTAGAAAATGAAAGTCTCTCCATAATCCTGTCTCCAGAAAACACTATTAATGGTGTGTGTCCTTCCAGACATTTTTTCCAAGCATGCTGAAATCTATTGAGTGCTTATTATGTGCCAACAACTGTTTGAAAGCACTCTGCAGAGTGTAAGTCATGTAATCCTCCTCAGAGCAGCCTTTTGAGGTAGAACTGTTATTATCCTGTCTTAGAGAGAAAATGGAGGCAGAGGAGCTGGTCACACAGCAAGCACATGGTGGGGCCAGAACTTGAATCCAAGCTCCAGGTTCAGACTTGTGACCACCTTGCTAGTTTGCCTCTGATGGGATGAGAAAAAGACTTTCCACTCTGAATTTCTCTTTCTGTGCCATGAATTTCTTTCTTTTCCTTACTTTCCTTTCCCATCTTTTTGGGGCCACATCCTGTGGTGCTCAGGGGTTACTCCTGGCTATGCACTTAGGAATCACTCCTGGCAGTGTTGGGGGACCATATGGGATGCTGGGGATCAAACCTGGGCCGGCTGTGTGCAAGGCAACCGCCCTCCCACTGTCCTATTGCTTAGGCCCCCATGTGCCACGAATTTCAATTCACATCAGTGCAGAGTGGTCAAACCCATGGATAAACAGAAAGCCAGAAACAATCCACACTCAAATCCATTTTTAGTCCATCAGCCCCCTTCTCTAGGCCTTCCTTGGAGCATTTAGACAACACTGTTTGGGGGGGGGGTCTCTTGGCTCCCAAGGTGCAGGCTGGAGGAAACAGATTTGGGAACACAGATTTGACAGAATTGCCCTGCCTCTCCCGCACCTGAATTCCTGGGGTTTGCTTCTGGGCACTTCCAGTCTCTGAGGGAACATACCCCAGCCCTATGTTGGAGCAGGGAGACCTAGAAGAGTGGGGCTAGAATTGTACTAACAGGGTGGACCCCAGGTTTCCTGCATTGACACACATAAACCCGTCTCTGATTCCTGGCCCAAGCCCCCCAGCCCACCCCATGGCTTCTTGGCCTGCTCATGAGTCACTATTAACCTCTTGTCCTCCCCAGGGCCAGAGTGAGGCCCCCAGTCTGGCCCTTCCTGGTGGTTGCATGTAACTCCCCGTCTCTTTTGTCAGGTTCTCACATAGACCATGGCCCTGAGAGCCTGTGGCCTAATCATCTTCCGGAGATGCCCAGTTCCCAAGGTGGACAGCAGTGCCATCGAGTTCCTCCTGCTGCAAGCGTCCAACGGCATCCACCACTGGACTCCTCCCAAAGGTGCGAGTTCCAAGGGGCTGTTTCGGTGCGGGGGCAATGCCGAGTGGTACTGAAAAATCCACCCTGCTGGGACCCCTGCAAGATTGGCTTTACCTTGGTCAGTGCACGGAACAGCAGGTAGCAGGAGCCCCAAAGCCTTTCTGCATGCAAGGCCTCCAGGCCAGAGCGGGGCTGGAAATAGAACTGTGACTGAATCCAGGGCAGAAGCAGCACCTGTGGTATGTATGTGAGAGAGAGGGGTGGGAGTGTGTATATTTTGGTGAGTATCATTCATCAGAACATCAGCCTCAGGGTGGGTAGAAGAAAGAACCCTGGACTGGGGGTGGGAGACCTGGGATAAAGTCCTGGGCTAGGCTTTAGGGGTCCAGTGTGAAGAACCCCCAGACAGAAGGGAAAGGACAGGGGGTGAAGTCGACCCAGTATGGGAAGAAGACAAGGCACTGGGAACAGGAAGTCACTTTTGCACATTTGAATTTCACTAGGTAGAAACAAGGTGCGGGGGGGGGGGGGGGGGGGGCGGGGGGAGGAAGAGAAGTGTCCCGGTTACTATGAATAGGAATATTCGCGCTTGTCTCCTGACCCCCCAAGTCACACTGCAGTGAGGGCTGCTTACTGCGAGTGTCATAGGCCGCTCCTGCTCTGGCCATGCTCAGGCCAGAAGGGGCCCTGTTCACGTGGAGGGGTGGCAGACCACCAGAGAGGGTCTCCCCCAGAACCCCGCCTGCTACTGGGCATCCTGGGTCTGTGTCTTTCCCTCATCTGTGGGGCTCTGCGAACTAGTCGGTGAAAAACTCTCCTGAAGCCAGAAACTAGAATGAACCTTGAGGCGCTGGCCTCCTGGTTGCTCTCCGTGGGAGCCACTGATTCGAGGCACTGTTCTGAAGACCCTGGGGAGGAGGGCAAGGGTCTAGCCCTGTCTCCAAACCCAGTAGGGGACAGCAAAGAGTGCTTGACCCTCCCTCTCCAGCATAGCCCCTCTGGCCGGTGGAGAATGTGCCGGGAGGGCTGCTCAGGCTTCGCCAAGTCTGCAGAGCTTCAACTTCTTCTCCAACAGTTTTTTGGCAGCTGTCTGCTTGGGCTCGGGTCTTGCCAACAAATTTTCTTAGAACTGGCTCTCAGCTGGTCCTTAGTCTTAAGTTCCCATCAGGCCCTTCCCTATGAAAGTGGAATCTGGCCTTGCTCAGTTAGAAAGATGAAAACAATTTAGAGAAGCCGTGATAGCTACTTGGAAACAGCTGCTGGCGCCTGGGTGCGGGGTTCTGAGCCGTCTGCAGGGCCCTGAGACTTCAGGAAATCCTCACTGTGGGCTGTCGGCAGAGCGCGCCGCCTCAGCCTACCTGCCAGGAAAGCCCTGCCCCTCCGGGAGAAAAATCACTCGCAGGGCTTCAAGGGCAAAGTGATCCCTGAGAACATGAGGTGAAGAGATTCCCAAAGAGCCAGACAACAGGTTTGAGGCGACCCCCATGTTCAGTTCCGCACCCCCTTATGGGGTTGCAACCCACAGTGTTAAGCATTGAGGTTCAAGACTACTGCTTTGGGTGGGGAGCAAGATGCCTCTTCAAACAGTAGGTATTGTGTTTTCCTTATACGCGGCCGACTCGGGTTTGATCCCCAGCATCCCCTATGATCCCCCAAGCACTACCAGGAGTGATTTCTGAGTGCAAAGCTAGGAGTAACCCCTGTGCATCGGCGGGTATGACCCAAAAAGCAAAAAAAAAAAGGAAAAACAAATGAGAAGAAAGCCTGTTCTAGATCAGACTTGTCCCACACGTCTCATTTCCCTCTGTGCAGAGAAGATGGGATTGGAGATTGGCACAGGTTCCCCAGAGCCAGAAGCTACCCAGCCCAGTACCCCAAATCTCTAGGCTTGCTTGAGCCTCACTCCCATTTTTCATGATCTTGCCTGGCCCATCCAGCTTGCTTGAAAGGATCTCCTCTTCCTTTTTCTTCCACTCAGGCCACGTGGATCCCGGAGAAAGTGACTTGGAAACAGCTCTGCGGGAGACGAAGGAAGAAGCCGGCTTAGAAGCAGACCAGCTAACCATCATTGAGGGGTTCAGAAAGGAGCTCAACTATGTGGCCTGGGAGAAGCCTAAAACCGTGGTCTACTGGCTAGCGGAGGTGAAGGACTACGACGTGGAGATCCGACTCTCCCACGAACACCAGGCGTACCGCTGGCTGGGCCTGGCCGAGGCCTGCCAGCTGGCCCAGTTTGAGGAGATGAAGGCAACGCTCCGAGAGGGACACCAGTTTCTCTGTTCCACTGCGGCCTGAGTGGGCAGGAGCAGGGGCTCTGGCCACAGCAGGAAGTTGGTGGGCCTTCTGAGATGACCCCTACCCCACCCTCCATTCCACTGGAGGAAGGTGATACCTTGTGGGGCTCACTCATCCCAGCAGAGAGTAGACAGGGTATGAAATCAGCTCAGGATTTTTGGATGAGAAAGAGAGGGAGAGAGAGAAAAAACTATAAACCTGAGCTTGGAAGAACGAAAAGCCAGGAGGAATGGAAGGATGAGATTAGGCCCAGCTGGTGCATCCTTGGACTTTATCAATAAACCTCAAGTGGCTGATTGGATCTTCTGACCCTCTGTCTTTATTTATTTATTTAATATGTTTGGCCCTGGGTGGGGAGAAGAAAACCAAAGGGCATGCGTAGGCTCCTGTGTCCGTGCACTCTGCCCTAGAGAAGCTAAGGCCAGAGTTAAGAGAGAGACCCAAGCCTGGGGAGGGGAAGGAGCTGTCTGGCTTTCAGCCTGCACACTCACCCTGCCTCCACCCGCATTGGAGGCTCAGGGGCCTGCTTGCCTACAGGATATGCAAGGAAGTGGGACTGGAGTCCAGGAGCGGGGTCTGTTCTCACTCATGCAGCCCTCTCTGCACCAGGCACGTATGTTGCAGGTGCTTAGTAAATATTTGCTAAAACCATTAGGGACCCATGGAACTCGGGGCCACATCCCAGGGCACCACAGAGAGAGGAAGGACTGGGAACCCGCAATCACCAACCTTTCAGTGTCAGCCTGAACCTGTCAGCTGTGACCGAGGTCACTGGCAAGAGGCAGGCCTGGGCCGTGTGTGTGTGTGTGTGTGTGTGTGTGTGTGTGTGTGTGTCCGTCCTCAGCCAGGCCACCCAGTAGCTCTGTCACCACACCTGTCACGCTGCCCTCCTTGTCCACAGCTGCCTTTGCTGCCTGGAACCTACCTGCACTATGAGCATTTCTTTCTTCCTTCCCACTTCCTCCTCTACCCCACAATGCAACAGCAAAATCCAGAGGCGCAAGAGTTAGGGCTCAGCCCTCTCCTACCCTGCTGCTCATGCTCCAGGAATGTGGGGCAGGTGTGAGATCCTCCGGCCCTTCCAGGAGCCACTCAGCGAGATTCATGCGGATCGTATTAGAGGCTGGTAGCCCGATGAAGTGCAGAAGATTGAGTGAGAAGGGGCATTGGGAAAGGGCAACCTGGATTACCAGGGTCAGGACCCTCCCCCGCCAGAAGGAAGAGAGAAGTGGCCCAGGCCTTGAGCAGGCTTCCAGATGTTTTTAGTCACTGCTTGTCCGTGCAGACACGGCAGACGCACTAGCGAACAGGATCTTGGAGGCCCGCCAGGGCCCTGAATGGTTTTGTTCCTCCCCCCTTGGAGCAGTGCTCTCTGAAGGAGGCCTGCTGCTGCAGGAAGTTTTTGGAGCTTAATGTTCTCTTTCCAGGCCAGCAGGGACCACATCCCACTGATTTAATAAATGCCTGCTGGGCAGTGGTGCCAAGCCACAGACTCGCTGCCTGCAGAACAAGGGCTGGCTTGCCCCGCGCACTCGGCATGGGAGGCTGGGGAATCTCAAGACGCTAAAAACTCAGATGACAGCGGCAGGAGGGACCTGCACCAGGGCCCGATTTAGCTGCTTGCTTGTGGATCTGGGGAAGTGGAGGCTTAACAAGAAGGATGGCCCTGGCCTTTCCCTACCTGTGGGGTGCTCTGAGGTAGAGGTGACGAGGAAACGCTCTGCTCTGGAATATATTGGGGGCGGTGCGGCAGAGAGACAGACTTTGGTTTTGTTTGTTTGCTTTTGGGGTCACACCCAGCGATGCTCAGGAGTTACTGTTGACTCTGCACTCAGGAATTACTCCTAGAGGTGCTTGGAGGAACCATATGGGATTATAGGATGCTGGGGATCGAACCTGGGTTGGCCATGTGCAAGGCAAATGCCCTACCCGCTATACTATTGCTCCAGTCCTGAGCACAGGCTTTGTATGTGGGAGCCTTGGTTCCATCCCCAGCATCACATGGTGTCTTGAGCACTGTCTGGGGGCAACCCCTGAGCATAGAGCCAGTAGTATCCCCTGAGCACAGCCAAGTGTGGCTCCCCAATTTTTTAATTATTTATTTATTTATTTATTTATTTTGCTTTTTGGGTCACACCCGGCAATGCTCAGGGGTTACTCCTGGTTCTGCACTCAGGAATTACTCGTGGTGGTGCTCAGGGGATGGTCATAAGGGATGCTGGAAATCAAACCCGGGTCAGCTGCGTGTAAGGCAAACGCCCTACCCACTGTGCTATCGCTCCAGCAGCCCCTTTATTTATTTATTTTTTTGGCTTTCGGGTCACACCCAGCGATGCTCAGGGTGTACTCCTGGCTCTGAGCTCAGGAGTCACTCCTGTCGGTGCTCAGGGGGCCGTATGGGATGCCAGGCATCAAACCCGGATCGGCCATGTGCAAGGCAAATACCCTACCTGCTGTACTATCACCCCAGCTCCTCCCCAATTTTTTAAAGGAGGTACATTAAATAGGCAGATAGTGGTAATACCTTATAGACCTGCTTGCTTTGCAGCAGAGGTTCCCAAACTTATCTACTGTTCCCTTTTCAAAAACAAAACATTACTCAGTCCCCCCGATTGCACTTGAGGCTACTCCCTCTCTCCCCCATCTTGCTGGTGCTCCATATCACTGCTGTACAGGAAGAACTGATGGTGGGTAGGCTCAGGGCATGTTCTGGGAGAGGCTGAGGGGGCAGGGAGGAACTGAGACGGGGCAGGAGACAGGCTGTGTCCCACTTTCCTTCCATCTGGACTTGTGAAAGAGAGCAGAGCCCCAGGGCATTAACAAAGCACCCCTCCCCTCCTTCATGCCTACCCTAGTCCTCCCAGCTACTAAAGCCCGCTTTCCTCAGGGCCAGGCTGCAAAGACACTGGTCACAGACTTGTACCCATTGGAAGGTTCTTATCTGGAGGGCGGGTAGGCCAGGAGAGTCCTGATTGTTGGGTCCAACTTTTGCGCTGCCCTTCAGGGCCTGAGACCCGGGCACTGCTTCTGGGTTCTGTGTGTAGAGGTATTGGGGGTCAAGCGAGGGGTGGGGGGCTGCTGCAGGTTTCCTCCCATGGCCCTGTGCAGTCCTGTCCCCCAGGGAGCTGGAGAGGGTTCTGGGACACCTGGAGTTGGCCCTGCAGGACAGAGATCTCCAGGGGGATCAGGAGAAAGTGGACATGTTGTCCCTCCAAAGACAGGACCACGGCTTGGAGAATAGCAGCCTCTGTCTCGAGAGGCCTCTATGGAAACATGGAAATAACTGGCACTTTTGTGGACCCGAGGCACTGCTCTCCATGACTTTCCCACACTTCTCCATTCCTCTGTGGTGACTTCTTCCTGGAGGACTGCTCAGAATCTGGGAATTTGCTGAATGGCCTGGGCTGAATCCATCCTGGGTCTCGGCTCCTTCTTCATTCGGCTCAGGGATCCTTTCTTCTTAACTGGACTGACCTCTCTTTCAGCAGGACCATGGGGCTCTTCCAGCCCTAAATCCCCTCTCACCTTCCTTCCGGAACACTCCCAGAGCCCTTCCCAGCCATCTGAGCAAACCTGGAGCAAAGGCTCTGGACAGAGGGAGACAGTGTGCAGTGCATGCCTGGATCTGACTCAGGATCTGGCTCTGTCACTGTGGTACAAATTGGGTTAAAGTGCAGGGTTTTGTGGGGTTTTTTTTTCATCTTTTTTAAAATTTAATTTTTTTAATTTAATTTTTATAAAGTTGTTCGGGCTGGAGCGATAGCACAGCAGGTAGGGCATTTGCCTCGCAAGCGGCCAACATGGCCAACCCGAGTTCGATTCCTCCACCCCTCTCGGAGAGCCCCGCAAGCTACCGAGAGTATCTCACCCGCACAGCAAAGCCTGGCAAGCTCCCCGTGACGTATTTGATATGCCAAACACAGTAACAACAAAGTCTCCAATGGAGACGTTACTGGGCCTGCTCGAGCAAATCGATGAACAACAGGAGGACAGTGATAAAATTGTTCACAGTAATTGTTCACATTCAATATTTCAACACCAATCCCACCACCATTATTTAAAATTTTCCCACCACCACCCAAGCCTGCCGCACAGGCAGACACCAAATAATTTATTTTGTGTTGCTTGTTATGAATAGTATGAGATGTCCCACAATTGCTTTTGTGGCCATGTGCTCCTGGAATTCTAAAATTATTAAATATTCAGGGTCCAGAGGCATCTCTGCAGCGTACTGCTCTTTTACGAGATTCATTTGTGAGTCTCTGAATCATGGCTGTTAATGCACTTAAATGGTCTGATTTTGATCTCTTCCGAGATTTATTTATGGGTCTTTGAAACAACACTGATAAATGAGCTTGTATAGCTGAGCCGGAGGTGGTTTGTGGGCGTGACTCCCACATACCTAACTTTTGGCCATTTAACTTTTCGGGAAACTTGGTTCTAAGTTGTTGGGGTCGGGCCAGAGGCACAGTGCAATTTTGGGGTATCAGGGACCATCAGGCTGCTCATACACTTGCCCCACAGGTACAGGTTGACCTGCTGGGAGGCACGGTACCCCCTAAATTGCAGTTTTTGCTTTGCTCTTCCAGTACCCTTGGAATTAAGAAATAGTTTATCTTGATGCGTTGTTTTAGTTAGATGGAAAAGTTAGAAACATGGGCAGACAACTAAGCACAGATAATCAGGGAGGCAGCCAGAGGCGGGAGCTATGATTAACCCCTTCTGGGAATATATATACATATCAGAAATCTGACCAGAACAGAACAGAAAGACCCAAACCCACCTGTTACTGAGGCAGGAAGGGAAGTGGGGCCACAAAAACAATTAGCAAATTAATAAATTTTTCTAAAACAGAATATATCCACCACAAAGATTCCCTGCAACAAGGGCCCCTTCTAAGTCCCCAGTGGCATCCCTCCTGTCTCAGTGTACTTCATTGTGTTGTCATGACACAACCAATCAAGAAACTCCATTTTTTTTCTTATTGAATCACTATAAAGTATGGAAGACAATTTCCCCCATACTCTCTCTTTATTGGCAGACATTGTGGTTTGCAATATAGATACTGAGAGGTTATCACGTTTGGTCCTTTACCAACTTTCAGCACACATCTCTCATCCTAAAAAATTCCTTCAACCAACATTGACTTAGTGATCCCTTCTCTATTCCAGCTGCCTTTTGCTCATGAGGCAGGCTTCCAACTATGGAGCAATATCCTGGCCCTCGTTTCTACTATTCTTGGGTGTTAGTTACATATTATATTATTTTATATTCCACAAATGAGTGAAGTCATTCTATGTC